TTTTTTAGATTAACGTGGGTGTCCGGGCCAGCTTGCGCGCACCACGACTAATCCCACGGGCCCTGAAGTTAACGACCATGTAAGCCTCCAGTGGCCATCATATGAGCAACCAAGGACTCGAACCAGAGACCATAGAGGGAGCAAACCCCTTGATCCCAAGCTTTTACCACTTGACCACCACCTAGATGGTTTGAATTTATCAATTTTGGTCTTATATCTAGTTGAGAAATTTAACAATCAAGGGATCTAGTTGAAAATTTGTAAATTACTGGGACTGATATTGTTTTATTATTTGAATGCTTGTATCCATTTCTTTTTTTCCCTCCCTGTACTCTAGATTTTTTCTACTTAGTTACATGTGTTTTTTTTTGTTTGTTTTTTTATGCTTTAAATCCAGATTTTTTTAAAAAAAATTCCACTCCTTATATGAGAGTTTTGAACAAAAAAAAAATTATAAACAATTAGTTAAACAAATTTTTACAATGTAGATCAATACAAGAAATGATAAATTGAAAAAATCAACAAGTAAATTAATCAACTTTGTAACTATATTTCATGAGGCCATTAATAAAATAGGACTAGTGCTAAGTGTTCCTATAACATAAATGTGACTGATTTTCAATTGAATTCCAATTGAATAAAAAAATTCAACAAGGACTAAAAACGAATATGGACACTCAAGTATAAAAATTAAGAATAGACATTAACCAACTAGATCATTTAACTGTTTTTTACTATAGGCAAGGTCATTTCTAGAAAAACATTAAAAGAATACTTAAGCATTTCTAATATTTTTTTTAAAAAAATATTATATAGAGATTGATTTCATCAATTTGAATAGTTTAAAAACAATTTAAATAACTACAAAAAAAATACTTTGACTACAAAAAATTTAAAGATAATATTTTTTTATTTTGATATGGTAATATACTGTATTAACTCGAATCAACTAACTCGAATCAACTCAAATTAACATGTAAAATTCACAATTTAAATTATGAGATTGTGATAATTTCATCAAAAAAAAACATATTGAAACTTGATTTTCATTCAATTCAACATTAAAAAATAAAATTAATTTTATGATTAACTATTGCATCTTTTATAACCTCGGAAGATTCATGAAGTTTCCCTTATAAGCTGCAATGGTACAAACATCTCTATTATGTATCATCCACCAGCCAACCATTTTGTATGATAGTATGTTGTTATACATAATAATGCCACGAACAATGATCGAAGTCTAATCTAAATCTTGTTTAATTTAAATTAGTTATAATATACAACCTGCTGCATAGATTCATTCAGTGAAAAATCATGAATGAAAATTTCGATCCGCTGTACAAGAAAAGTGAAATCGGGGTGGGGGGGTCGATGAGCGACGTCAGGCCCTCCACCCTTTTCTTGCATTTTTCTTGATATCTTCTTGAACGTGTAATCACATGCAAGTTCTTTTCTTACTGTTGTAGATTACAGAGCGCCTTCGTGATCCTCGTGGACTTCGAAGAGGAGGGTTATCCGCCGCCGCCACTCCTCGCAATTTCGTTGCAAGCGGTGCTCGTCCTCGTGGCCTTGTTCAACCGGTACTTTTTTTTTTCCTTTCTTCTTTCTATAAGTTTTTTTACCTTCTGTTTATATATGAAAGCAACTTCTTGTTTTCTTTCATTTGGTTAATTTTTTGAATTTATAGAGATTACAGTTGTTCAGTCGGTTCTTTATGTTTTTTGAGTTGTTGGGGTATTTTTAAAGGCCGATAGGAACAATGCAGAAGATCAACCTCCTGCAAAACGGCGGCTTTTGTCTGCTGTTGTTAAGGTAGAAGCAAAACCTTATACAGTGCCCCCTATTTATACATATCTTCTTGGAATATATTATGTGAAATTCTTTATCTTAAAAATGGAGAATTGTTGGAATTTTCTGAAAATTGGATCTTTGTTGCTATCCGGGATGGAAGGTGGAAGAGGATGGAGAAATGTTGGAATTTTCTGAAAATTGAATCTTTGTTGCTATCCGGGATGGAAGGTGGAGGAGGATGGAGAGATCGTTGAGGATTCTGCCACGGCAGAGGATGCAAAGAACGAGCAAATGGGTGAGGATGGAAATGTTGGGCCTGCTACAGGGATTCGGGGTGATGGAAAGCCTTTCAAGTTACAGCGAAGTGGTTGGCCTAGGAGAGATTTGATCTTAGAGCAGTGAAGAGGGTGAATTTTAACTCTTGTCTTGTTTCTGAGTGTGTTTTATGTGCGTTCATCTTCTAATTTTTCCCTGTTGTCATGATTGTTTTGTTTGGAGGTTGAAACTCCAGTAATTGAGCTAAGATTTTTCGTTTGCAAAGATTTTTGTTTGTTCCAAGGGCGTTGCCTAAGAATCAGGATCCAAGATTGGTTAGCAGAAACAAAAGAATGCTGGGGCAACTTTTAGGTACTCTGGAGGTGTGTGCAAGCTAATTCCTCGTTTTCGGCTACTTATTGGGGATTGAAACTGAAGCCAGTTTTTCATGCATTTCGACCAAAACAACCGGATCAAAACTTAATGGCATTGTTATTTTTTCCTTTCCATTACTTGAATTTTGTTGTTACTTTTTTTTTTAATCAATCAGAACATAAATCTTCTGAAAGATCTCTGATCTTGCTAATGGTCGAAGTGAGTAATTTTTTATGTCTGAGGAAATAAGAAAACCAAATTCACTGAGGAAATTAAATAGTTCCTCCAAAACCTCAAGCAACTGCTTGTGGCTCAACATTATAGAGCCATTTTCCCACATTGATTATTTGAAATGCGACTAGGATGGATGGAGAACTGGGTGTAGAGTAATTGCTGATTTTTTATGTCCGAGGAAATAAGAAAACCAAATTCACTGAGGAAATTAAATAGTTCCTCCAAAACCTCCAGCAACTGCTTGTGGCTCAATATTATAGAGCCATTTTCCCTCATTGATTATTTGAAATGCCACTAGGAGGGATGGAGAGCTGGGTGTAGAGTAATTGCTGATTTTTATGTCTGAGGAAATTAAATAGTTCCTCCAAAACCTCCAGCAACTGCTTGTGGCTCAACATTATAGAGCCATTTTCTCACATTGATTATTTGAAATGCCACTAGGAGGGATGGAGAACTGGGTGTAGAGTAATTGCTGATTACATTGTGGAGGTTTACAGTATTTTGTGTGCTACACACGGCCAGTGATTTCTCTAATTTTGTTGCTTTTGGGGTTGGCATAGGTCAGTGAACGATGTATAATTGTTAGAACAAGCAAGCTCTCCTGAAGTTTTTCTAAACAAACTCCATCTATAGAAATTAGGAGTCTGAGTTTTAGTTGGTGATGAAAATAGTATATCTCAATACTTGATCTCTAGAAAAGGCCAATCTACTAATCTCTCAGCCTTTAGCCTTTAATAGCATTCACAGGAGTTGAATTTCAGACCAAAGGAAAAAGATAAGGAAGCCAGGGCTTTGAAAAACTTCACTTTCTTATGACATATAGAGTGTGAATCTGTCATGATCTTCACCAATTAAATGATGCTCCCATGGCTAGCAATCTTTTGAAGAATTATCAGGACAAATACATCTAAATTATCAACTTCCTTAAAAATATAGTATCTGATCTAGGAATCTCTAAAATTTCTTACTTTAATATTTATAATCAATACAAATACCAACTTGCTTGTAATGAATAGCAAAACAAGATAAAACAATCTGAATTACCCAGGTCATCAGATATGATTTATGGTTAACAACAATTTCCAACCTGCAGCGAAGTCTTTAATACGATTATCCTGTACAATGTCATCTTGTCTTCCAAATATGATGATTGAATCCCATTGAAGTAATGCTCCAGTGGGAGGTTCACAACTTGTTTGCAGAGTCAATTTTGTGCAATGATTCTGTTGAATTCTTCGACTCATGGTTATGTGATTCAATTTGTTTGGGTTTCCTTAATGTGTTTTCTGATTCTCTTGTTTGTTTTGTTAAGGGTTTGATGGTAAGAACCTTAACTAGTTCTAAATTTATAGTCCTTTCCAAATGCATCTTTAGATGCATCTTACGCTGTGATTGATTTTGCCTCATCTTAAATCGGTGCTGACTTCTTGATGGGAATGGTTCTGACTAGCAAATCACTAAAACTTGAAGAATGATGTAGATTTTGTATCATTGACTTCCAGCTGCAAACTGAAATCACTGAAGTTTTTGAGCTTCAACTCTCATTAAAAATACTTCCATAGAATACTTCTTAAGCAGTAAATATGCTGTGTTGAGCAACATTTTGCTATAATAATCTTTTGATTTTTTTTGAAATATTCTAATGCTGCCCTTTTGAATTCTAAAACATGTTTCGATTAGCATATCTGTTATTATTTACTTCTCTCTTTATGTGTGATCACTACTTAATTTCTTCTCTATTTTTGTCATTGTTTGAAATTTCCAGAAATTCAGGAAAGAAGATATGAAAATTTCAGGGACAGAAGCATTTATACAAAGGTGAAATACTTTGCAAAGAGTGAGTTTGCAATTTGAATTATTTGTTAAGTAAACTAAACCTTAATCATTAACTTGTTTGCCTATTGGTGGATAAATGCTTTCATCTGTTATTGACAGTCAATACTCTCAAAATCCTGAATTCATTTTTCTTACCCCCTTAAAAATCCAAGTCATTCTTTATTTATTGCAAGTCCTTTTTTTGAGGGAAGCTAAAACAAAGAAGAGCATATCTTGTATCATGGAATACAGCTCTTTGGTACTTCACTGACTATTAGGTGCGTGGTTTTGTTTTTGGAACTCCAGAAGTTTCCAAATTGTGCATTACATTTGAATTTTTTTCCCTTTTCTTCTGGTGTGGTACTATTTGTCCTTTTCTTGGTAGGGTTATGTTTAATACTGTTTTTTTTCCTTTTGAAATGCTTCTTGGCCCTGCTGGAGACGATGTTAATATGTTGACATTTACACTGGTCTAGTGTGATAATTAAATGTATTGAAACTCTTCTTAGACTGAGCAAAAAGCACCTGAAGAACGTGAAAGGCTGAGACAACAAGAGCGTGAACAAATTGCTGAACAGAGGAGAAGAGATCTGGTTTGTTCTAATATTTGTAGATTATAACATGTGCTGGCAAAGCCTTTAATGGTTCCTGTTTTTTCTCTGTACACAAAAACAAATGATATTTTCTTACTCTATTATTTACTTTTACAGTTTACTCAATCAGACTCTCAGAGCACGCATCACTGTAAAGGCTGAAGAAAAGAAGTTGGAATTGCTGTTTCTTCGGTGGAATGATCACATCAAAAACTTAGCAATTTTATAAGGTATACCTTCCATTTGACACAATCTCTTCTTTGTTCTCGGTAGCTAACCTCTCCCAGTTAAGCATTCAAATTAATTTTTTCCCGTGTATTCATCTTCTGCTGCAGATTATTTTTAACTTTGGTCCAAAAGTGTCCATATTCACAATTTTATTAAGACGAAGATAAGTTTATGTTCAAGTGGATAGTAGTGTTGAAAGAACTGGGCCAGTGAATCTTTCCTGCATCTTTGCGGGATTTTAGGGGTGAAATGTTGTATTTTTCTGCTAACTTTCAACTCCCTTTGATTAGCTTGTGGGGTGTGTTTTTCTGGACTTAGGCAGAACCTCTAATTTACTATTTGCCTAAACAGCCATTGGAAAAGGATGCAACCTTACTTGACCAGCAAAGAGAACAGGTAAGTTGACTTCCCTAAATCCCTGGGCCTATTTGATTTAAGGAGAAAGATTTTGGATGGTATGCCCAATTTATTCTTGGAATTCATAGAAGCTTAATGCATATAACTGGCAGTGTTTAATTATGTAGTTGTAACGTTTCCTTCAAATCCTAGCTTCATGGAATGAGCAGGTATTGTGTATCTGTGTTGTCTTGCATATAAAAGCTTTGTTTCATAAAGAGTTCCCTGCTAAAAAAGAACTGTCAGGGGAAAATGGGCAGTTGTGTTTGATATAACATGTTGAAATTTGAACAGTGATCTCCAAATCGTACATTTATGTGATCTGTAGATCTTAAAATGGGGGTTGAGATTTGGTTTTGAGAATTATGGACAATTCACCCGATGTATGTTTGATCTGAATCCTTTCTGTACATATGTTGTCATGAATTGGCACATCAGGCTTTTTTAGAATGGAAGGCTGGTAGGAGAGATGAACTATCTGAATATCAGAAGCATATCCGGGACCAGCAACTTAGCTATGTTGAAATGGAGTTGGAGAGGTGGAAAATGCAAAGAGAGCGAGGAGAGCGAGTGATGATGTGAACTTGCAAGAAACAATGGACAAAGAATTGGACATACACAGGCTTGAGCATGGTCCCAAGACAAGAAAGATACCTGGTGGAAGCAACAATGAAGAGGATGATGATGTGGAGGATATCAGTTTTAGGGAAGATGACGTGATGGATGATGTGCTGGGGGTTGATGGTCTGCTGGAGGGTTGATGAAGCATCCCAGCCAGAAGCCAATGATACCAGCCCCCCTCCTGATCAGTAATGATTGAAGGCATCATACCTTGTTCCTTATATCAGGTCATTCCATTGCCAATCCTATTTTCTTCTGTATTCACTTGCTTTTCACCGGCTGTCTTGGTGTTTGTTTTTCCTATTAATGTGCATGTCTCGTACAAAATAGAGGTTCTTAAGACATCATTTGTTATCTTTAGTGTATTTTCTACAATCATCAATGCAAAATTGGCATTAACATGACTCATTGGAATTATTTTCGAGGGCATTTTTCATACATGCTCAAAGGGAGAAACCGAGCATTTTGTCCCTTATGCTTAACCATCCACCAAGTTCTTACATATTTCAACGAACTGTCCTGATTTTGTGGTGAAATTTCGAGCCAAGGTGTACAGCATGGAGAATGAGGTTGAGATTTCAAATTTAAGAAAACCTGCATTTGGACACTGTGAACTCTTTTTAATATTATTATTGCCAAGGTTCATTCATGGCTTGAACACTGAACACCTGCATGTGGGAACGCTATATTTGAGAACCAGGAGGAGGAAAGATGTAACGAGGAAGAACACGAGGTGAAAGGACATAACCCTATCCTAGGTGAAAACACAGAAAAAGAAAGTAAAGAGAGAAGATACTGTTTTACATTAGAAACAACAAAAGAACTTGCAGTTTCCCATTCGTTGAAATGAAAAAAATCTTCATCTTTTCCTCTTCGAAGAGCCAAGAAAATACCTTGAAACTTGAAAGTTGTGTCTTTCCCCCCCTCCTCTCCCAAAAGCGTTGTCAGAGCCAAGAAAATGGCCATGGAGGGGAACTTTCGTCTAATATTGTTCGAC